GTGCGTATCTATAAGGACGATGAGCTTCCTGCCGATATCATCATTCTCTCTACTTCAGATCCCGACGGCGCTTGCTACGTTGAAACGAAAAACTTGGACGGCGAAACGAATCTCAAGGTCCGACAGGCTCTTCGCGCTGGACGTGGCATCAAACACGCACGAGACTGTGAGCGTGCCCAGTTCCGCATTGAAAGCGAGGGCCCGCATCCCAACCTGTACAAGTACAACGGTGCTATCCGGTGGCAGCAAAGGGTTCCCGGCTACCTGGATGAAGAACCCGAGGAAATGACTGAGGCAATTACAATCGATAACCTGATGCTGCGAGGATGCAACCTCAGAAACACTGAATGGATTTTGGGCGTTGTCGTCTTCACCGGACACGATACCAAGATTATGATGAACGCCGGCATCACCCCCAGCAAGCGTGCCCGCATCACCCGAGAATTGAACTGGAATGTCATCTGCAACTTCATTGTTCTCTCCGTCATGTGTTTGCTCGCGGCCATTGTCAGCGGCGTGTCTTGGGCCAAGGATGATGCATCCCAGCACTTTTTCGATTTCGGCTCCATTGGCGGAAGCTCTGGCGTGACTGGTTTCATCACCTTCTGGGCGGCCATTATTGTCTTCCAGAACTTGGTTCCCATTTCCCTCTACATCACGCTTGAAATCGTGCGAACCTTGCAGGCGATCTTCATTTTTAACGACGTGGAAATGTATTACGAGCCCATCGACCAGCCCTGCGTTCCCAAATCTTGGAACATCTCCGACGACGTCGGGCAGATTGAATACATCTTCTCGGACAAGACCGGCACGCTTACCCAAAACGTCATGGAGTTCAAGAAGGCTACCATCAATGGACAGCCATATGGTGAAGCCTGGACCGAGGCTCAGGCTGGCATGCAGAAGCGTCTTGGTGTTGATATCGAGAAGGAATCCGAGAGGATCCTCGCTGAAATCGCCGAAGCCAAAGTGCAAGCACTGATAGGTCTCCGCAAAATCTACGACAACCCGTATCTTCACGACGAGGCCGTTAGTTTTATCGCACCCGATTTTGTCGCTGATTTGGCTGGTCACCATGGAGCCGAGCAGCAGCAGGCCAACGAAAACTTTATGCTCGCTTTGGCTCTTTGCCATACCGTCATGGCCGAACGCACACCCGGAGACCCGCCTTCTATGATCTTCAAGGCCCAGTCCCCCGACGAAGAGGCTTTAGTCGCCACGGCTCGTGATATGGGTTTTACTGTATTGGGCAACTCTTCCGATGGTATCAATCTCAACGTCATGGGCGAAGAACGCCACTATCCTCTCCTCAACACCATCGAGTTCAACTCCACCCGAAAGCGAATGAGTACAATTATCCGGATGCCTGATGGTCGAATCATTCTGTTCTGCAAGGGCGCCGACTCGGTCATCTATGCTCGACTCAAGAGGGGCGAGCAAAAGGAGCTGCGACAGGCTACTGCTGAACACTTGGAAATGTTTGCTCGAGAAGGTCTGCGTACCCTCTGTATCGCCCAGAAGGAACTCACCGAACAGGAATACCGTACATGGAAGAAGGAACATGATATCGCCGCCGCCGCCCTGGAAAACCGTGAAGAGAAACTCGAGGCTGTTGCCGAACTTATCGAACAGGATCTTCTGCTCCTCGGGGGTACTGCCATTGAAGATCGTCTTCAAGATGGCGTGCCCGACACCATTCAGCTACTTGGCGAGGCCGGTATCAAGCTCTGGGTTCTGACCGGTGACAAAGTCGAGACTGCTATCAACATTGGTTTCTCCTGCAACTTGCTCAACAACGATATGGAGCTCATTCACGTCAAGGTCGACGAGGAGGCCGCTGAAGGCGAAGATGCTGATGAGATATTCATTTCTCACGTCGAGAAGCAGCTGGACGAGGGCCTAAAGTCATTTGGCTTGACTGGTGGCGACGAAGATCTTGCCGCAGCCAAAAAGAGCCACGAGCCCCCGGCCTCTACGCACGGATTGGTCATTGACGGCTTCTCACTTCGATGGGCCTTGGACGACCGCCTGAAGCAAAAGTTTCTCCTCCTCTGCAAGCAATGCCGATCCGTCTTGTGCTGCCGTGTCAGTCCTGCGCAGAAGGCCGCCGTCGTATCCATGGTCAAGAATGGATTGGATGTCATGACGCTGTCTATTGGTGACGGTGCCAACGATGTTGCCATGATTCAAGAGGCTGATGTCGGTGTTGGTATTGCTGGTGTTGAGGGTCGACAGGCTGCCATGTCCTCTGACTATGCCATTGCTCAATTCCGATACCTGCAGCGACTGGTGTTGGTCCACGGACGCTGGTCATACCGCCGCCTGGCCGAGACCATCCCCAACTTTTTCTACAAGAACATAGTGTGGGCTTTCAGCATTTTCTGGTTCTCCATTTACACCAATTTTGACATGACCTATCTCTTTGAGTACACCTATGTCCTGATGTTTAACCTGTTCTTCACCTCGGTTCCTGTTGCCATCATGGGCGTCCTTGACCAGGACGTTTCGGATTCCGTCTCATTGGCCGTGCCGCAGCTGTATCGCCGTGGTATTGAACGACTGGAATGGACACAGAAGAAGTTTTGGTGAATTTTTTTCTTTCTCTTTCCCCCCTCTTCTCTAATTTCATCCATCCTTGTGTTCACATAAAAACTAACAATGCAATAGGCTATACATGATTGATGGTATCTACCAATCCGTCATGGCTTTCTACATCCCATATCTGCTCTTTATGCCCGCTCGACCCGTGACGATGAACGGCCTGGGATTAGAAGACCGGTACCGATTTGGAGCCTATATTGCGCACCCTGCAGTCTTGACCATCAACGCCTACATCTTGATGAACACGTACCGATGGGACTGGCTTATGCTCCTCATTGTGGCTCTCAGTGACATCTTCATCTTCTTCTGGACCGGCATCTACACATCGTTCACTTCGTCTGATCAGTTCTACGGAGCTGCCAAGGAGATCTACGGCGAGGCTACTTTCTGGGCCGTCTTCGTGCTCGTTCCCGTCGTCTGCCTTTTCCCAAGATTTGCCATCAAGTCTCTGCAGAAGGTTTTCTTCCCCTATGATGTGGACATTATTCGAGAGCAGGAGAGGCTGGGTGCCTTTGCTCATCTCAAGCCGGAAAGCACCACGGTTGAGGCAGTCAGTGACGAGAAGAGCCAGAAGTCCAAGTCGTCCAGCAGCTCTCGCCGAGCGAAGCACGCTCAGTATGCCAGCGTCGACGAAGACTTGCGACCCATCTACCCCCCGTCGACGGTGACGCGAACGACGACGCAAAACTATCACAGCCAGACGGGCAGTGACAGCACCAACTACACTGGCAACCGCTTCTCTCTCGAGGTGCCAGCGCAACAGACCCGACCAAGCATGGACCGAGCCAGGCCGTCGTACGATCGAATGCGCCAGTCAATGGACCGCATACGAAACAGTTACGAGGCCAGCAGTGATTTCACCTCTGCTGCGCGACTGTCTCGCATCGAGTCAAGTCGATCCCACGCTGCCTCGGGCCTCACTTCGCGGCTGCGCGGGCTGTCATTGACTAAGAGCAATAATGTATAGACATGGCTGGAGTTGTGCTCCAAGAAAAAAATTAATACCCCCTCTTTTTTTCGTTGTATATTTACATCAAGACCAGTCTTTCTATCTTCCCACCTCTAGTTCACATCTTTTTAATGTCCCCGCTGCAAAGATGCGTGGCGTTTTACGCATCTGCATCGGGCCATTCATGCTTTTGATGATTTGCATGAGCGATCTATGAATTGCTGCCCTCTTACCGCCTTTGTTAATGACAATCCCGCATATAGGTGTGCATTGGAAACAGTGCACAGTTTTACAACACAAAAAAGAAAGACCAAAAAAATCACTCGGATGCGTGTAAATGTGTAACACGTGACACCACAAATACGACCTACTATTTTCCCATGGCAGGAGGGGAAGAAGGAATGAGAAAGAAGAAGAAATAAAGAGAAGATGAGGCTCGCCGTTGAGGGGGGATTGTGTCTCAGCCTTTTGAGAAAAAGGGGGGAGAGGCCTGCCTTTTATTATTTTGCATGGCGTTTGAAAGGGAACTGGAGAACTATGGGTCTGTTTGCTTGCTTTGCTTTTTTGGTTGAAAGATATATTCCTCTTTTTTTTCTGATTCGCTTTCGTTTCTCTCATTTTTTCCTCCCGTTTTTTCGTTTCTGCTTCGTTGTTCTTCTTCTTTTTCGCTTTTCCTCTTACTTTTTGCTTTTTGCATTCTAGACCTGAGTAGCGACGCACTCATTCCCTCAAAGAGTATATTTTGCCCTTATTATTACACATGTACTTGGTCAAAAGGCGGGGGGAGTAAGAAGCTGCGGAGGAAGTTTGGTCTTTTCTCTTGTTTTTTTGTTGTTTTACCCCCTCCCTTTTCTTTATTAAACGTCGAAAGCAAAGCAAAGCAAAGCAAAGCAGAGCAGAGCAGAGCAAAGCGCGGATAGCTGCCTGGGAGAAGGAGTGGGTGCTGGCGTTGAGGGCTGGCTAGAAAGATGCTCGTAGCCTGGATACCTGGACAATGGGGGATCAATTTATTGTAGTAGCTTTGTTTCTGGGGTGGAAATGAGAAAGCTTTATATATATTTCATGATGCTTTTTGCGTATTTTCGGTGCCTTGTATTTTTTGCGGTATATATATACATGGGGCCCATTTGCGTATTAGAAGTAGAAGTAACGTGTATTTTTCACAATACAATAGAATGATGATTGCTATCCATGAAGTATTTTATACTGTTGGCAGGCGCAGAGATGCGGGACAAACTATTGGCCAATGCTCCTCTGACAGGGGTCCTTGGCTAACCCCACAACTCTACAGTTTATTCGAACGACTTTCCAGTAGCGCATCGACTGATTTGATCCTCCTTTCAACCTGCAACTCTGTCCGCTCCTTTTTTTGCCTTTTCGGCAGTCATCTTCTTCTCGTTGAATTCTTCTCACTTGGTCGACGGATGCGCGAGGCCTGAGAGAATTGACAATGGAGCGTTTCGTGGAGCAGCTCGCGTCGCTCGTGGCCGCCTTGAGCAGCCGCTTGGGCACCCAGCTCGACGTTTCGTACGTTTTCTATCCATCTCGTTCATCTTCCATATACGACACATGCTAACCTCGACTTTCACAGCCCGGCAGCTCTTCAAGCCTCCTTTGCGCTCCTCGCAACCGTCATATGCGGCCTCATCATCCGCTCCGCCAGCGCCCTCGCCGTAGCGGCCACAGCATCCCGCCCACGCCATTACGTCGTGCCACCGCCGAAGCTGCCCGAGAAGGACGGCAGAGTCGCCCAGACGAGCATCAAGGTCGCCGGGAGCGAGGCGATCCAGTGCTACGCGCCCGCCACGGGCCAGTTCCTCGGGCATGTCAACCCCACGACCGCAGACGGCATCGATCGCGCCGTTGCTTCGGCCGCGGAGGCGCAAAGGGTCTGGGCGACGACGACGTTTGAGCAGAGAAAGGCGGTGCTGCGGTCGCTGATGCAGTACGTCATGGGCAACGCCGAGCAAATCTGCCGCATCGCCGGGCTGGACAGCGGCAAGACCATGGTGGACGCGCAGCTGGGCGAGATCCTGGTGACGGTGGAAAAGATCCAGTGGACGCTCAAGCACGGCGAAAAGGCCTTGCAACCATCACCCAGGCCGACCAACCTGCTCATGTCGTACAAGCGCAACACGGTGCACTACGAGCCGCTGGGCGTCGTCGCCGCGCTCGTCAGCTGGAACTACCCCTTCCACAACCTCATGGGCCCCATCATCAGCGCGCTCTTCGCCGGCAACGCCATCCTCGTCAAGGTCTCGGAGCAGACGGCCTGGTCCAGCGGCTACTTCCTCGACATTGCTCGCGGCGCCCTCGCCGCTCACGGCCACGATCCGCAGCTCGTCCAGACGGTCGTTTGCTGGCCCGAGACGGCCGGCCACTTGACGTCGCACCCGGGAATCAGCCACATCACCTTCATCGGCTCCCAGACCGTCGCCCACCACGTCGCCGCCAGCGCCGCCAAGAGCCTCACGCCCGTCGTCGCCGAGCTCGGCGGCAAGGACCCCTTCATCGTCCTCGAATCCGCCGGCGGCAGCAAAGGGAAAGACGGCGACCTGCCTCGCATCGTCGACGTCATCCTCAGGGGCACCTTTCAAGCCGCCGGCCAGAACTGCATCGGCATCGAGCGCGTCATCTCGTCCGGCGCCGTCTACGACCGCCTGATCCAGCTGCTCGAGCCCCGCGTCAAGGCCATCCGCCTCGGCCCCGACGCCGACATGGGCGCCATGATCTCCGACGCCTCCTTCGCCCGCCTCGAGGCCCTCATCGCCGAGGCCGTCTCCCAGGGCGCCCGCCTCCTCGCCGGCGGCAAGCGCCACGCCCACCCCGACTACCCCCAAGGCCACTACTTCCAGCCCACCCTCCTCGTCGACGTGACCCCGTCCATGCGCATCGCCCAGAACGAATGCTTCGCCCCCGTCCTCACCATGCTCCGCGCCCCGTCCTCCTCCGCAAAGGACATGCTCGCCATCGCAAACGCCCCCGACTTCGGCCTCGGCGCCTCCGTCCACGGCTCCGAGCGCGACCCCGCCCTGCGGCCCATCGTCCGCGGCCTCAAGGCCGGCATGGTCGCCGTCAACGACTTCGCCGCCTACTACGCCGTCCAGCTCCCCTTTGGCGGCGTCGCCGGCTCCGGCTACGGCCGCTTCGCCGGTGAGGAGGGCCTCCGCGGCCTCTGCAACACAAAGGCCGTCTGCGAGGACCGCTTCGGCTGGCTCGGCATCAAGACGGCCATTCCCCCTCCTGTCCAGTATCCCGTGGCCAGCCAGGACCGCTCTTGGCGCTTTACCCAGGGCGTTGTCGAGGTGGGATACGGCTCGTCGGCGACCAAGGTTGCTGGCGTGACCAAGATTTTGAAGAACATGTAAGCGCGTGATATATATAGCTATACATATAGATTGCTATACTGGGCTTGTCTGGTTTATCAAACGAGTACATGACGTGCCTCGGGAGGAATGAAGAAGATGAACTGGAGCCTTATGTATTTTCAACTACGCATCGGTAATATCTGTAATTGTAATGAGGAAAATAAACACACCCGCGCGTGCGCGTACACACGGACATCATCCACTCACTAGATATGCATCGTGAATGCGAGCGTCTACGACATTGCTCTCCTATAGCTTGACTGGCTTACATTTTCATCTGGAACAGCTCTTACAGAATCACAATATCAGTCACTGGTCAACCTGTAAAATCAAATCATCCTATATTTGAGTAAATTCAAGATGGCCTGACGATGTAGCAAATGGCCTCTCCTCAAATTTCCGAAACGCCTGTTCCCCTTTGCCTGGTTTCTTCAGACCGCAGTCAACGACGAGGTATTGCCATTCCGGCCCTACCCAGAGTGAATGAGACTCTTCTCCTTACCATGCCTTGGTGGAAGGTGCCTCTGCACCCCAGGTACCGCCAGAATCACCTCCACCCATATCACCGCCGGTGTTCCAGCCGCCGCCAGAATCGCCTCCGCCCATATCGCCGCCAGAGCCTGCGGCATCACCAGATCCCCCAGAACCGCCCCAGCCTCCTGCACCGGATCCACCGTTGCCAGTGTCATCTCCTCCCCAACCGCCTCCCTGGGCATCCCCAGCACCAGCAACATCATTGGGGTCAAAGTCCGACTCCGTCTCGAACTTGACCTTGGTGCCGTCGGCATAATTCTCCGGGATGTAGGACTGCAGGAAGTCGGGAATGTCCTGATTAGTCTCCAACAATGTTCTGGTAAGAACGCTCGCGATGGCCTCGTCACGATCGGTAAAGAATGAAGTTGCCACTCCTCGGTGACCGATGCGACCGGTACGACCTAGCCACAAGGTTAGCTATTATTAAATAAGAGACATGATAAGAGAAAAGTACATACCAATACGATGAGTATACTCTTCGATTCCACCATGATCCATGGATGGCAGGTCATAATTGATGACGTGCATGACATTTCGCACATCGATACCGCGAGCCGTAACACCAGTAGCCACGAGGATAGGGGCTTGGCCACTGCGAAAGGCTCTCATGGCCGCCTCTCTCTCCACCTGAGTACGGTCGCTGTGGATAGAAGTGACCGGAAGCTTCATATTGTACAAAAAGTCGTCCAGCGTATCCGCAGCTTGACGGCTGTTGACAAAGATGATGGTGCGCACACTATTCATCTCTTCAAGAAGGTTGAGAAGAAGCTCATTCTTCTTCTCTCGGCCAGTCTCAATGACAATCTGTTTGATGTTCTCCGTCGTGCTTCCGGCTCGGCCGACACGAAAGCGCACATGGGAAGCAGACAGATATTCCTTGGCGAGGGCTCGAGCCGCGCGAGGGAATGTGGCCGAAAAAAGGCCATACTTGACATTGCCTTCATCTTGTTCTACATGTAACGCTCATTAGTAAACCGCAGAAATGAGTAATTGGGGGAAAAGACACGTACCTCCACCAGAGAGAATTGCGCGGAGATCTTCCTCCCAGTCCTGGTTGAGCATCTCATCAGCCTCGTCGATGACCATGTACTTGACTCGGCGGAGAGTCAGTCTGTCAGGGCGTCCGATGAAGTCTTTGAGGCGGCCAGGAGTGCCAATCAAGATATCACAGCCTCGAGAGAGGAGACTCAGCTGCTCACGGATTGGGGTTCCGCCGTACACGACACAAGGGCGCAGCATAGAGCGATAGCAGAGCTTTCTGGCTTCGTTGAAGATCTGCACGGCCAGCTCACGAGTGGGTGCGACGACGACGACCAGCGGCTCCGCAATCACATTGTCAACGCCCTCCTGGAAGGTGAGGGGATTGGGGCGAGCGGCGCCCAGCTTCTTTGCCTTTCCCATGAGTTTACTGAGAATGGGAATCAGATAAGCAGCAGTCTTTCCAGAGCCTTGTAAAAATGTTAGATGTAACGAATTGAAAGGAATATACTTTGACTGACCTGTTTGAGCAACGCCAATGACATCGTAGCCTTGCAAGATGGCCGGGATAGTGAACTTTTGGATTGGGGTTGGGACTTGATATCCCGAAAGTTCCACATTCTTCATCATGACAGGATGAATGCCAGCATCAGCAAACGCCTTGATGTACTCGATGCGCTCAGGGCCTTCCTGGACGACATCGATGCTCTCGATCCTGTGTGCTTCAAGTTAGCATGGTCACATCATGTATGCCAGAGGAATACTAACGCAGAAAAATCGAGACCGCCACCAATGTGCTTGTTGCGATCCTCAACGGAGCCAAAAAGCTCAACCTCAAGCTCCTCAAAAGCTGGGCCGACATCTCCGAATTCATCGCTCCACTGATAGATACGGGCATTGCCGTCCCAGGTAGAGCCAGCTTGGGCCTGAGCCATGGCGGTGTAGTCAAAGGCAGTGCGCTCGACCCAGCCAGCAGCGGCCTGGTCCTCGCCCTCGGCGACTTGTCCATTTTCAGGAATGGCCATGATGGACAGAAGGATGTCCTGAAGTGGGCACCGACGTTTGGATGACTAGAGAAGGTTAGAATGAGGCCCTTGTCAAGAAGGGGAACTGGACGAGAAAGAGAAAATGGACGCGTAACAGAAAGTGAGATGTGTTTGAATGCAAAGTGAAGTGAGAACGAAAGGTTCTTGGGGAGAAGCACGAAGGAATAAATTCCTCGGCGACGAGTTGTGATGATTTGAGGAATCCAAACCCGATCGGGTAGATGCAAAGAGGAGAAGAGAGGTGACTAACGACCTCGAAATATCACCTTGAAAGAGGAGATGAAGAGAGGGGGTGATACAAAGATGCTGAAAGGCGAGAGGCCAAATCAAAACAGCCGAAAGTGCTCGAAGCAAATAAAGGAAAGATGATCAGATGGATCACTTACCTTCTCTTGGGATCTTTCTTTGCAGGAGAGACTGGATGGCTGAGGAAAAGAGAAAAGAAGAGGAGAGGGAAAAAAAAGAAGAGGAGAGGGAAAACAAAGAAGAAATAGTTGCGGCCGAGGAGGCGAGGGCACGTGCACAGAGGGATTCCTCAAAAACAGAGCAAGTTTCGAAGAAGGTGCAGCTGCCAGCGGACTGATAACACTGGAGTGGGCGAGGGAGATGCCTAAAGCGCGAGGAATAGGGGAGAGGACGGCCTAAGGAGAGAGGACGGCCTCGATAAGGAACCTTTGGCCTCGAGCTGCAGCAACACAGGCAGGGACATCTCCCGCCATGGTGATGTTTAGCTTCAATCCGTTTGTTTAACCCAATAGCCAGGGTAAAGACGAGTTTAAAGAGGACCTAGGAAAATAAGGGCCTACTGGAAGCGCCAGAGATCTGAGAAGTGACCTTGTCCGATATAAATAAGAGAAGGGAAACTCGAGACAATATTCCAAATTCAATTCTAATTTAGCAAATCATAAGTGGAGGATGGATAGTAACTCTTCTCCATTTCTTCTTTCATCTTCTGCTGTCTCTTCCTGTCCGGAACGGAGTCATTAACTTCTTTGCTGCCACCACACGCTTTGCGGGTACGTGTACCGCCCTCTTCAAAGGTCTTTTTCGACGCTCATCCCCACAGTTACTGAAAACAGCATGTAGCAAGCCGCTGACAGCCTAGGAGAGGCCGAAGGCTTTAAATGATTATGAATCTACTGGTGCGTATTTTATTTCCTCTTCTGCTATAGCCATAGCAATACTGAGATATCTAACGAGAGACAGGCGAGTAAACCAAAGGTGTCACCGCACCTTATTTTGCTCGAGGGGTCTGCAGCAACCAAAACTCGCCTGCAGATGGATGTCGCATGTTGGGTTGGTCCAACAAGTGGCAGTCTTTGCTTTATTTGAAGCCAGTAACATGATAATACTTACTTTGGTTGAAATAATCTAGAGTGTTATGGCCAGTTGGTGCATTAGTTGGTGCAACATCTTATAGCGTGCTCGTCTGCAAGATGCCGAGCTGCATGGATGGAAGAGATATTCATCGATGCCTGACGTAAATTCGCTTTTACTTGTTTTCTCGTAGATATTTCTTGTGTGATCCTTTGAGCAGTTCCATGTTGGAATGTAAGGCAGCTGGAGGTATTGACGAGATAGACAGCAAGATGTGCACGCATTCTTTTCGTTTCGAGCTTGGCGATCCGATCTACATATGATATGATCTCGCTGCCCATTAGATGACAGACTCAAAGTCATTGTAGCTTTACCCTATTGACATTTGACTGCTTTAGGCACATAAGCTGAACAAAGAGTTTTGGCGGCAGTGCATTTGTTACCTGCTTGCTCCAATGCCGGGCGTATTCGCACACCAATTTGACGACCCAATTTGAAACGAAAACAGATCTTGTTACTTGCTATGAGCATCAGGCGCCAATGATCTACCGGGCGCCATAGAATTCAGCAACTAGTCATCCTTTCGAAGGAGCTCCGTCGCGAGTTTGCAATATGTACGCTACAGAAGGCTAAGGGAGAGTGGCATCTACACCATCTTCATTTCCAACAGATAATATTAAAAGGGTATCAGCTAATACGATTTACCACAGGTTCAACAAATCTTGAGCATCCATTCCAGCAGAAGCAGCATAATCTCCCATCCCATTCTTCAACACCTGGTCGAGTCCAACGGCCGCTCTCCCTGCCGCTCCGCCTTCCTTCTTCACCTTTTCGATTCCCTTTGTCACGGGATCGAAGAACCGCCGATAAAATACTTGCTGCCTTGCCTCTCGGTTCGGATACATCTCTCCCTCCTCGTCTCGTCTTGACCCAAGCAAGTTCAGATACTCAAAGGTGTTTGAGGAACGGGGTAGCCTGTAGAGGTTGTCCCAGTATTCTTCAGGACCGGGAGCGGCGGCTGTCTCTGATTTGAGCCCTGCTTGGAGAAATCTGGACAATATTGATATCTGGCGTGCGAGTGTCTGGGCGTCCTTGGCTCGAAGTCCTGTCCTAGCAGCTGAGGTCCATCCTGGAGCGGCCGATGCCAGGGACCAGCCCATTGTGACGCAAAAGGTACTCAGAGTCTTGACCCATCCACCTGGGATAGTTACGAGCTCATCCTCGGCCACGTCGAGAAGCCACTCCATCACCCCAAGAGAGTCACCGCTGATATCAGCCGATAGATGTGTCATGCCTGCCCGGATGAACATGATGGCCTGTTCGGTGCTGTGTTTTGCTTCATCCTCTGGAAGTACTCGAAGTAGCTTTAATAGTTGACTCCTGACGGGCGTTGAGCTATCTGAGATGAGAGGGAGTAGCTTAGAGAGGAGGATGTTGGTTCCCACGGGATTGACTGGAGGATGTGAGGAGAGTTGGCTAGTGAGATATGCCAGGGCGTCACGGCGCTGTTTATCAGACCGTGAGGATGAAGCTAGAGAGAGATTGTGCTTGAATTGCTGAACAAGATCTGGGGCAACAGTTGATAGTGACTGCTGGTTCATAACAATCGCTTGTGGCTGTTAGTGACGGCCTTTGCTTTGTGAAATACCATCTAGTTAACCATACCTTTGGATCTGAAGCTTGTGTCTGTGAAATTTGAAGCCTTTGGATTAGCCTTTCCAACCTTATACTTGGGTTTCTGGCAACTAGTGAGTAAACGACACTCAGACGAACAGAGCATGTGAGAGGCCGTACCTGAAAATCCTTCTTCTTCTCCGCCTTCTTTTTGGCGCTGGAACCCATCTTGGCGGTGCTTTACTGACACAATCGTATAATAGACAGATGTAATATTGACACAAAAGCTGCAGAATATACTGGAATTGTCCTTGATACGGCTCAATGGTACTAGATCTAATGCTTCTCGTTGGTGATTGGTTTTTTACAACGGCCTGCAGGTTCAAGAGGATGCTTTGTGGGTCTGTACATTTTGGCGGTGGCGCATGGCAGAATTCCGACGTGCCGCGATGCGATGGGGGCTACGTCAATGAGCCGAAGATGGTAGCACCCTGAGAACCGCTACGGACGCCTTGGCCGCATCTACCGAACCCCGGAGCTCTCGCAAAAGGTTCGCATCTTGTATTTCTGGCGCGAGAATATACACATATATACAAGCAACTACACGATGTCGGAGAATCCTACGGTACGAGAAGCCACAGCTGTGTCGCATATTGCCTCCATGTTGCGCTTCTGGCTAATAACGTCTCTAGACAAACGGGCACGACGCCCTCGAAGAGAAACTCGGCCGCCTGGCTAGGAAACCCGGCATCAAGGCCAGCCTCGTCTTGGACCGAGCAACCGGGGCAATTCTCAAGACCAGCGGCCAGATCGACGCGCTCCAGACGGCGAAATCGCGAAACGCGTCAACGGCGGCCTCATTCTCCAACGACGCTCCCGCAGCGGAGGAGGGCGAGGCGCAGGGCGTCGAAGAATTTGCGGAAATGATCTGGAACTTTGTCAACAGCTCCGGGCAGCTAGTACAGGACATGGACACAGAGGTACAGCGCGGCTATCACGGCGATAATAACCTCCCCCTTTTTTTTCGATCGCCTGCGTAAATACGGCATGTCGCAGAGGCTGACTGAGCTGGCAGGACGAATTGAAATTACTGCGGCTGCGAACGAAGAAGCAAGAGATTGTCATAGTGCCGGACCAGAAGTACCTGCTCACGGTCATCCACGATACTCAGCCGGCCTGATTACACACACAACTTGAGCGGACTTTCCGATACGCAAAGCAGCGGGTTTATTAAGGGGCTACTATGATGGGAATATAATACTGAACGGGCGATGTTTTTAGAAGGGCAAGCGGTAATGGGTTATACAAGTGTACGGAAGCATTGAAAGCAAGCGGGGGGGTGTGTGGCCCAGCGAAGCGCCAACTCCGCCTACTTGGGAGAGAAGGGAAATTTGTCATGGTCCATTTTCATTTTTATGAAGCATAGCTACACGGCGCACAGGATGACGAAATGATACCCCAGGACTGTTAATGCCAGACCCGACACGTGCGTGATGAAATACAGGTCCGGCACCGAGCTGCTGCCTGGCGTGACAGGATATCCTGCGGCCAACCGCCTGGACTGGATTGGACTGGCTGCGACATTCTCATTTGCGCGGGTTCGCCTGTTTTGCTTGGCGTCTTTGCTGTGTGTCTGAGTACGGGTTGCTCATCTCATACAGGACGAGTATAACGCTGCTTCTACAAAGTGCCATGGTGTTCCATCAATGGCAGAGCTTCGATGGGAAACACTCCAGCCTTGGCACCTCGGCTGCGATTCAGAGTAATTTCGCATGCCGCGCGGCCCTCGCGACTCGGGGATTGGCAGGAGCCCAAAGAAATAGAGTTATCTAAGCATCGAGATAACCTCTCCCGCCCAATTCTATTCTTGTCGGTGTTTATTTTGCTTTTGCTTTTGCTTTTGGCAGCTACTGCTCCCTACAAGGTACATGACTTGGCTGCCAAGAGCCATGAGCTCATCTTGGGTACCGCGTACATGCTGGAAGGCGGGAAAAAAGGGGGCTGCCGCACATGTACCTACCTAGTAGACACCAATTTCTACACCAACAAGCGCATGTAATCAATCGGGCAGTCAATCACAAGCCAACTTTGTCTCGCTGTGTCTAATCATGCCAGTCCAGAAAATGCGCCCATCCCGCTGCAGCTGCCTCCTGACATTTGGCGCCATCCACGGATGATTGATGATCCATATCATACGAGGCCCCGGTCCAGGGGGGCGACACTGCAAGGGCAAGACGCAGCCAATGAGCCGCGGCTTGGCTTTGGGCTTGGGCTCAAGCAGAGCAGTGACAGACAAACGGCGCAGCCCAGATCGACGGGGCGAACAGCGTTGATTGCCGACCCCAGATGCGCCCAGATGGACCGGGTGCAAACGCCCCATTAATTACGGCGTTAGGGAGCTCAATCTCGGAGGGCTACAAGACCGTTGCTGGCTGAAATCCCGTCCGTATCTGCGTTGCTGCACGTCTCAGGGCCCTCTTCCGTGAGGCGCTGCTCGTTCAGGGGCATGGACGGGACCCTGGGCGGCGCCGAGAAGCCTCTCCCCCCATTCCAACTGCAGGGCCACCAGCACAAAGCACGAAATACTCCGTCCAGTTTCTCAGGACCAGCATACTCGTAGGCGTTGGTCCAGTCCAAGGCAAGGTGGGTGGCATTCGCTTGGAAGTTTGTTGCCTCCCCAGCGCTCATTCACTAGAGTAGGTAGGTGACAATACGAAGCGGCCGGAGATGGGATGGACGGTTTTAAACGTCTGGGGGTAGGTTGTAAAATGCGGGGGAATCGGTGACTTCAACATGACAAGTATAGGCAAGAGAACACATTGGATGTACCAGCCGTAGAGGTGCAGCTTCGATGTTGTTTTTCCAATCCTTCAAAGGCAATGTAGCAGGTAGCAGCTGCAAACAGACACATCAGCTTGATTCAATTGTGGAAGCATCATTGCTTACCTGCACTGTCCTCGACGGCAATCCCAGTGCATGTACGGAGGAGGTTAGTACTCTCGAGGTACTCGTACATGCACATCCTCCAGTCGTACTGTACCCATTTCGTACATCCCCACGCAACGTTGGATTGAAACGTCAATACGGATACAACACCACGCAAAGCCTCCCCCCTGGAAGCAAAAAAAAAAAAAAAAAAAACACGGGATATTGCAGTGCAAGTAAGCTTCAAATGTCTCATTGTCTCCTTGGCCACCACCAGAAAAAACCCCCAAATGCTAACGGGGGCCACCTGACCATTTCCGAGAATAGCGCTGTATCTTGAAGTCCCCCCAAGACCCCTTGTGGTTGGTGCTGCCCCGCCCCTCCCCAGTTCTAAACTGGACCCGGAGATCCGGCGAGATCGAACCATAGGATTTTCGCTCTGCTGCCGACGCCTTTTCTTCTTCTTTTCTCTCTCCTCTTGTTAATTTTATTCTCCCCTTCCTTTCGCCGAGGGTCCAGCGAGCTTTCACCGAAAAAATCATAAAAGTCTCGCTACCGCCTCCTGCTTTGTCCATGCACGGCTAATGCGTCCTCCCGCCGACACCACTACAGTAGGTAGCAACACCCAAAACCCCCCCAAAAAGCGATATAGCAATGGCATCGTCCCACTTCCTTAGTGACGACGACATTGAGAAGCTCTTCTCGGGAGCTCCCCAGTATTTTGCCCGCAGCGAGAGCCACTTCCCCGGCGCGCCTCATCCCAGCGTAGCCTTTCCCTTTGACGAGGAATTGGAGATCCGCGACTTGACGGACCATGTCCAGATCGAGTCCAAGGCCTGGAGTGGCGTCACCGTCTGGCCGCACCTGACCAGAGACGTCAACCATGATCCAGAGGCCAAGAAAGAAGTCGAGGAAACCCACAGAGCCCATTTCCATGTGCGATGCGCCGAGCGACCCAACATGCTGAGCATGCAGGGCCTGGAGAAGGGCACCATGGGCTACCAGGCGGCCCTCGAGCTGGCCGTCAGCGATTCGCTCGAGGAGGAGCAGTTTGGCTTTGAGAGCCTCGGCACCAAGGCCCGTGCCGTCGTCGAGGCTCGCGAGCGCATGCTGTCTCGTGATGGCTGGCTGCACCGTCTCCCCCAGACCGAGCTGCTGGACCGGCTCAAGCGCAATGCCGACATCTACCGTAACAACAACCTCCGCAAGAAGTCGTCTGAGGAAACCTACAAGGACCTCTTCCATGTTCTCATGAGGCCAAATAAGGTGGTCAATGTCGACAAGAAAGACCCCCACAGCCTTCCCAACCAGATCAGCGCCATCCTCAAGTGTATGGGAGCCCCCAATGTCTGGATTGACCTGACGCATGTCGAATGGCGTGTTCGCCTAGGCCAAATTCTATGGGGTAAGCCGCATGGCGATGAGCTGGATGACAACACGGCAATTGTCGATGCCGAAAGCGCTGCTGAGAGGGCTGAAGAAAAGTATTGGCTACTAATGCAGATTTTGGTCTCGTCCGAGTTACTCATCCGCCTGGACGCAATCACAGATGGTGAAGAGTACGGTGCCGCACACTTTAGAGCCATTGACGTAGTCCAGTTCGAGAGGGCCGCCAACGCCTCTGTCAAGTGGTCGCTGCTTCTGGCCCGCAGCTGGATGAAGAACATTGAGATCGTTCGCGAGGAACATGGGTCTACAGCACGGCCCGAGGTCCGCCGTGGAAGCAGCGGTATTGCCCCGGGCTGGCTGGCGTCTCTGGCCAGCAAGATTTCTCTCCACGACCAACACAAGCACGGGAACCGACCTCCATCGCCGCCCCATTTCTACACCATTCGAGGAAGATATGGTCAGCGCCAGGTCGAAGGCCTGACTCACTTTGCGAGAAAGCTCATGTGGCCAGGCATCGACGCCTACGAGAGACGAATCTCGGAAAACGTGCAGAGACTGACGGCACCAGCATCTCTGGTACCGCCGACGCCGACACCGATGAAGAAGGATCCCCAACAGGATGGGTACTTTGGCGCCTGGGATGTCACATGCCAACGCGGACACCACAAGGAGCGAGCTCAAGCCAGGCGACGCCGAATGGCGGCTGCACTTCACGAATCCGGCTGGCTCTCCAAGTCGTACATTTTTGGCCTCATGATGCCTGGAGATGCCGTGAGCCACTTTTTGATGGCGACGTTACTGGAGAATGACAGCGAGGCCCTGTCCAGAATTGGGTCGTTTGCCAATCTGAGCAGCGGCTTTGTTTACCACGACAAGAGTTTCTGGAGCACATCTTGCATTGTCGGCAGAGTTTTGGCTGCCGGGAAGGGATCTGCTGAGTGCATGGGTTGGATTTCGACAGACATTGTCCCCGAAGGGATGAATGAGGGGTGGATCAATATCGATGTTCATGATGTTGCCTGTAAGTTGGCATCCCGTCCTTGTCAGTAGGGCCCCGTAACGACCGTCTTCTAACTGCCTACTAGCCGAGATCTCTCAACTTGGCAAAAAGGCCAGGCTCTGGGGCAAGAAACGAGTTGAGCGCGAGTCGTCGATTTTTGGAAATGGCCAAGAGGAGTCGATGTCTCCCGCAGACTTTATCATTCCTCACGAGAACAACTACTCGCCCTGCCCACCAGGCGTGATTGTCGAATTGCAATCGCTGGAGCTCGCCTCGCCCGTGGCAGAGTGTGTTCACCCGACACCTCTCGCGGATCTCGTGGCGACTCCCATCCACGAAAACCACCGAGCTCCGGATCTGCTGTCGTACCCTGCCAAGCTCAACTTTTTCGTTTCCATCGACGGGGAGAAGACGGAGACGGCCACCTTTTCGCTTCTGTACGACATCAACTTTGTCACCGCCCACCCGTGCTCACCTTCCTCGCGGGTCAGGGTCTTGAAGTCGCCTTCTAGTCCGACGCTGCGGCAGATTGACTTTGACGGTTCCAAATCTCTGGGGAATGGGTCTCGGTCCATGTATCGAGCAGGTAAGCAAGCATTGTGCCCGACCAAATACCACCTGCAGTATGCTAATGAAGAACGCGCGCAGGCCACCCCTTGCACAAGTATTATAATTATACAGTCATTCACATCTCCGACCTTTTGCGACGACGAGACGCCGAGCTGTCAGATCTCCTCACGCCCCCCAACGGGCAAGCTGCTGCAAACCAGGTGCTGGTGGTCGACTGCATCACCAATTTTTCGTCGGCACCGCAGTCGCCTGTGCTGGACCGCCTGGACTCGCCCGGAACTTCGCCTATTGAGCGAAAGGGCAGCTTCTCCGCGGCAGCCAAGATGCACTTTGAGTCGAGGAAGCGACAGTTTGGGTCCGACATGGAAATCCTCATCCGGGCTCTGTGCTCCGAAAGAGGGTGGAATGCCATCATCAGCAGGAGGAAGCGAGGATGCTTGGCCTGCGCAATTCGCGAGGCCGGCGCTCTAGGTTGGAAAATCATTGTCCGAGTACCATGAGCTGAGCATCGTATTAAACAAGATGGAAGGGGAAAAGATCCCCATGGCGTTTTTGTTTTTGAAAGGAAGGCGAAAACAGCCTGAGGGGGGGAAGAAGAAAAACAACAACAACGGAATAAGGAGAAGAAATACCCTTCTGTCAACGGAGTTATCTTGGGTTTGTGGCGGGAATTTTCGGAGCGTTTTTGTTCAGGTCAGCATCGGTTCTTTGTTATTTTTTTTCCCGGGTTGAGCCAGCGAGCGAGCGGAATTTTGTTGTATGATAGGGAGTAAGTAGCATTTTGGGAATGATTGGGTCCATTACCAGCAAAGGCAAAAGTGTCGCAGGAACGACGTTTTGCGCCGAGGCTGAAGGGAGAGCATCTCGCAACTCGACAAGTCAGAAATATTGACATGGAAGACGAATAAATAACTTTTGTGATGTTTTTATTTATTTATTTTGTCTTTCTCCATCTTTTTGAAGCTTGTGCTCTCGTGAATTATCGGAACCAAAGGCCCGTTCCATCTGGGCTTTGTGGAGCACCAAGAACATGAGCTTGGAAGGCTAACCCACACTGCGCTAAGCCTAGCCTGGGTTTGTTGAAGCTTAGTCACGCTGCAGCTCGCAACTATCCGCCAACGGCTCTCGTGGCCAAACATGGCCGCAACTTATCAACCGCACCAAATCGCCAACCGAGATTTCTCTGTGTCTTCTTGATCTGCTCAAAACTACAATGGCGCCTGGTACCAAGGACATGCGACGCGCGGACCTGAGTGAGTGGCTGCGATTTCCCCCTTGCTCTGCGTGGCGCAATTGGTTGGGGAACTTGATCATGGTCGTTATGCGCTTCCAAGAGCTATGAGGGAGGAGAGAGAGACAACGAAAGCTGACTTTGTGTGAAAAACCTGTAGTCGTGCCGTATCAGGAGCCCGTGGTCAAGGGCGAGGTGACGGATTTCTCGTCTACGATGTCGTCGACGCTGCCCATGGCTGCCATGTTTATGCGGAACAAGTTTGTTGGATGGTATGCCTACGAATTCCGAACGAACGAGGGGGAAAAGAATGAATAAAGGGAATATGGTGGGCTGACGGTCATGACCCTTTTTTAGGATTGCGGTGGTGTTTTCTATCCAGACGTGGTTGGGCGAGAGCGAGGATAGCAAGAAGAGCAATGGAACGCCGGGATACTTTTCCGTTGGCATGTCGGGTATGTTTTTTTCTCTCCTTCTCAAGCTATAAACCCTACCGTTTCTTTACGTGTTTAGGCACTGGAGATGAACGAGGTTGGCTAACTAAAGATTCCAGTTATGGCTTTGGCGGTGACATATATGCCCATGTTTATTCCTCCTCCCGGCGCAAAGACTGCTCCTCCTCCTCCGCAACCGCTGCAATAAAACAACGTGGACGTACGACTGGGTAGAGAATGAAGTGATGCGTGATAATAAATAATAGGATACCTGACTGAGATTGAATCAAAAGAAGGTCTTGGATGGACGGGGTTTCGTTGGGGGGAAAAGGCAGACGGGGCGAGCTGCAAGGCTTCTAATGTGACATTCGTGTACGACGGTGTATATACAATAATCTTGACGACCTACAATGGTAAATGCCATATGTTTTTGTGATTTTCAGATGGAGTTTTGCCCTTGAATGGACGATTGATTCAGCATTGGGTCCTTGCATGGACATCTTTTACGTGGTGAGCCCCCATACTCGTACGCTCAACAGAGTCTGTCCACCTTGGGAGGATGATGCCAATTCAACACCACATCGTCAATTCAACATCACAAATTCCATATCCCAAATGAACTATAGACAAATTACAACATCGTCCACCAGATTTTTGTTTTAGCTTCAAATAACCGTAGATCTCCCTTCAAGACTACCATCTCAAACCAGCGCTTAACCCGCCGCATTACGGGGGTCACGGAGGCCATTCCTGAAACCGCACTTGACACAAGAAACGTCTGGGGGTTATTCCGCCAGAATCAAACTCCTTCTCGACGCATTTTCTTCCTTCTTCCTCTTTTTCTCTCCTTCATTGTTTTCGTGTTATTGTATACGCATTTGTTACTATATTTTTTTTTTCTATTTGGGTCGTGTGTTTTTTTGGGTTTACGTCTGCCGCATCTACCTTATTTTATTTTGCTGTGCTGGGCACTTTTGAGCTTTCCGAATCTCACTCATTCTCTCCTTCGCGAATACCAAAACGCAAACAAACATTTTTCTTGTACTCGATCAAGATGAAGACCTCTTTCGTTTTCGCTCTTGTCTCCACGGCGATCTCCTTCGTTGCGGCGGACATTGTCATCACGCCCATCTTCGAGGACCAGGTCGTGCAGAAACAAGCGGGCGATTGCTACTTTGGCGTTGTCACGCCTCAGGGATGCGGGTGCGTTTCTTTTTTTTCTCTCATCTCTATGAGATCTCACCCTTTTTTTTTTTTTTGACAAAATACATGCAAATGTTACTGTGCATGATATTTTTTTTTTTTTTTGGTTGTTATTCACGGGGCTAATTCTCTTTCGTTAGACCGAAGCGAGGATGAATCTACATTTACTCATCTGCGACAATGGAGGACAACCGTGGAGCAATTCTCCATGTACCGACCATGTGCTGGTGATTTAATTTCGAGGAGTGTATATGAAGACACTTTAGACTCGCTGCGCGAGACTAAGATGAGAGGTGCCAAATAGACAGATTTTAATACGGCGTTTTGAATTGGGAAAAAGAGGGCATCGCGACTGAAAGACGTCGCTGATAGTCCTGATGAGAGGTTTTTTTTTTTTTCATCATCCCGTATTTTCATATACGGGATTGCATGCGAATGAGAGGAAAGAGTGGCAAGCAATAGAAGTAAGCCTTGTGGAAAGCAGATCCAGATACCCAAAATAACATGTTCTCATCTAACTCCCCGTTGCCTGGGTGTGTTTGCATAAAGTCGCTAAGCAGGTTGTAATTACACTCATATCGACTTTTTCCACGCTGTAATTGCAATGTGATTCATCATTTTTTTTTAGAGTAAAATTGAGAAATCTCGCATATTTCAACTTTAATAAGCCTATTCTCATGCAAAAAATCCCCAAACACCAACATCCTCAAGCAGCCTCCGCTGTATACCCCAAAATCATCTACCCCCAAATACAACACTACAAGGAAAATAATCACCAACAAAATGTATTCGAAGAAGAAGAAGAAACTCAAGGCCAAAACCATCCAAATTCTCTCACCCCTCTGTTACCCGCACCCCCTGTTCCAAGCATACACAAAACCCTTGCCCACCAAATTCCAAAATGCGCCATCGTCCGACACTGGCGCAGCTCCTTGGCGCCAGGAATCCTGAAACCGCTTCGTTAGAGCTCCGTTTCGCCGTAAGATGACCCATGCACGCAAACTCTTGCTACATCATTGTGTGTTTCTTGTCTGGGTCCGCTGTGTCATTCATGTCTCACGGGATGACAGAGTATGTAGTATTAGCAGAGTTGTATGTGCTCAACTCTACCGAGGCCGCAAGAACAGAGCGAGGTGTCCTGCATCTCCAAGTGATTTATTCTTCAATGCTCAAAAAAACATGTCACCTTCACGCGGCAATGGGAACAAGATGTGATTTTAATATAGTATATGATCCACTGTATACCTAACAAGTATACTCACTATTCCTAACAATCCAATAAGCTACAAATCGTGTCACAGACAAATAAAAATAAAAAAAGAAAATCTCCTTCCTCTCTGATTCTCCCATGATTGGGACTGTAGACGGGCTCCGTCGAACATCGAATTACAGCCCTAATAGTTTTTTTTCTTCATACATGTATCTCGTAACACCTTATGTTGAGGCCGCAAGGTTTGAAGTGCAGGTGGTGATCTGGGTCTGGCAGTCACTGACGGTGACGCCGCTCAGCTTCTGGCTGTTGACGGCATCAGCGCACTGGTTGTTCTGGATGTCACAGGCTCGCTGGATGGCAGCGGCCTTTGTGGTGAAGGTGTTGCCCTGAACGTCAAAGGGTCTGTCCTGGTTGCCGGACTGAGTGACGGGGGGAGCAGCAATTCCTCCAAGAGCAGCAGAGCCGGCGGCACCGCCCTTGCCGGCGGCAGCAGAGACAGCGACGGAACCGGAGTTATCAGTAGGAGCGGCACCAGCGGCGGCAGTGGGAGTAGCGGAAGCTCCGTTTCGTCCACCACGGCCACGTCCACCACGACCGCGTCCACCACGGCCCTGGCCCTGACCGTTTTGTCCAGTCTGGCCGTTCTGAGCAGCAGCAGTGGTAGCGGCAGCGGCGGCAGCAGTGGTTTGGTCAGGGGTAGAAGCGTTGTTTGTGCCGTTGGGGTCGGTCTGGCCATTCTGACCGTTGTTGGCGTTGCCCTGGCCGTTCTGTCCATTCTGGCCGTCTTGACCGTTCTGTCCAGTTTGTCCATTCTGGCCGTCTTGACCGTTCTGGCCAGTTTGTCCGTTCTGTCCAGTTTGTCCGTTCTGGCCGGCCTGACCGTTGTCAGCCTGACCGGCATTGTTGGTGTTGCCAGCATCTTGTCCGTTGTTAGCCTGGCCAGCGTTGTTGGTGTTGCCAGCACCCTGACCGTTGTTACCGTTCTGTCCGTTGTTGGCGTTACCCTGGCCATTCTGACCGTTGTTGGCATTGCCCTGACCGTTGTTGGCGTTACCCTGGCCGTTGTTGCCGTTACCACCGACGGTGAAACGAACGCAGTCATCCTGAGCACCACGCTGAGCCACAGGCATCAGCACAGGCTGGTGGTTGGCAGCAGAGGACATGGAGCAAAGTCGGTAGTTTCCGGCAGGAAGACCGTCGGTAACCTCGGCGGAGAGGAGACCCTGGCCGTTGCCAGCATCGTTGATACCCTTGAAGAAGGCGAACAGCTTGGGGTCCAAAGGCTGGGTAGGGTTCAGGGAGTCACCAGTGCTCTGGACAGTGACGTGAGTGTGGCCAATGATGTTGCCGTTGCCATCAATGTCCTGAGGAGCGGCATAGTAGGTAGAGGTGGCGTTGGTGAAGGTACCAGGGGCAAAATTGAGCATTTGCACCTGGATGTTGAAGGTGGTGTTCTCATCAATGTTTTGACCGTCCTGGGGGTTAACAAAGACGGAGGAGACCATGTTCTCGGTAGAGGGGATGTTGCCCATGGGGATACCATTGCAAGAACCCGTCTTCACCTGCTGACCGTTGGTGATGGTCTTGCCCTCACAGAAGTTGATGAAGTTGAAGTTGTCACTGTCCATTCGTTAGCAATCTTTCATGCGCCAGATGCGATTGGGCTGTACTCACGTAGCAGAAGCGGACTGGCCATCGGCACCAGGGTTGTTGCCGTCTTGCTGGGAGCCAGTCTGGATCAAGTTGGAATCCAGGGTCGCACCAGCACCATTGCCTCCGTTTTGGCCGTTGTTCTGACCATTGTTCTGACCGTTCTGACCGTTGTTTTGACCGTTGCCGTTTCTGTTGTTGTTCTGGCGACGTTCCAGAGTGCGACCGAAAGGAGATCGGCGCTCGATTGAAGCGGCGTCAGCCAGGACAGCCAGGCCAACAAGGCCAGTGAAAACGTTCTTGATTTGCATATTGAAAGGTGTTAAGAGAAGAAAATAATAAAGGTATAAAGGAAAAAAATAAAATTGTCGAGTTGAAAGTTGTGAGAGGGATTGGTACCAGACCAGAGACGAAAAGAGAGAAAAAGAAGTGTCACAGACACACGAAAGAAGGAAATAAACGAAAGAGACCGCGAACGACCAGGTCGCTTAGAAGAGTTAGGAAAGGAATGGTTGGAGGATGAAGAGAAGAAAGAAAGAGAAACAGCGAGAGGGGAGAGCGAGGCCATTATAGCTTTGAGACGCCAAGGCCTTTGGCGTCAATGCAAACCGCAGACACAGGGACGAAACAAGACATCGGCAAGACGGCACGACTAGGGATGAGGAACAGCGGTGCTCCAGTTCCAGAAACAGAACAGGGACACTCATCCACACTCACGAACAAAGTGCGGTTCCATGAGCCTCAAACGGTTCAGCACCGATCCGAGGAGCGAAACCAGGGTGAGAGGCCCGGGGGGGTTTGTCTTGGAGGCAGCCCCGGAGCCGGGGGGGAGCCTCTTGGAACGGCGATCGAAAAGGGCAATCCCAGGATTACAATCCCATATTGAGGGCGCGCAGTGTAACCAAACGCGACGGCATTAGCGCTGTCTGATGAGTCGGGGGCTCGAAACAGACGTCGAGGAGGACTGTACGCCTCTCCACGCAGGTACGAGAGATGTTCTGGGGCACGCCGGCCAGGGGAACGCTCTGGCTGCCGACTAGCCGCAGCAACGGACCTCTTCATTTGCAGCCCATTGTTCTGCTCCAGCAAACCTCAGTTGCGGATGATGCACTACTTATTACTACCTACAACTGGGAACGAATTAGCAAAGAGGACCCAAGGTACAGAAACAAAGAAACAAAAAGGTCCAGTACCAGAGAGACAGAGCGGCTAGCCGTAGCACCTACTTGTACGAGGACAGTACGAGCAGCAATGTCGCAATGTCCTCTTTGTGATTGCTCTTTCATGTCCCCGGAATTAAAGTTATTTCCCCAGGGACTCTCCCTCAGCGCAATGCCCTAGCCGTGGTCAACCGAGCCCAGACCCTGGCGCTGTCGCAGATTAAAGTACGGATGCACTGATGCGGCTTCAGGCGTCTCGGGGTTGGTGCCAGGCCAATCTGGCCAATGGCGAGCCCGGATCTGCAGCCTCCATGTGGCGCTTCGCGTTTCGGTTGCAGGCGATACGGAGACCCGAGACGACAGGTCGGGGCTCAGGCACTGGCTGTTTGAGCGCTTTTTGCCATGGTAAGTGGTAATGGGCGTGCACGGATGGTGAGAGTGAGAGAGTTGGAGAGGAGAAAGTTGAGATGGAAGTCGTTTGGGGGAATTGATCCGAGGGCGGTCGGGCACGTGGTGCAGCTACAATTGCCATGTACCGTTTCGGAGCACGGAGCAACTTCAGCCATTGCATTTGGGATGAAGATGAATCATCAAGATCTCTACAGTAAGAACAGACAGACACACCAGATGTCTAACACATCCGATAACAAAAGTAGGTATTCGTTGGCCAAGTCCTGCAGCCCGGATCAATCTCGGCTTCCTTTCTGCCTCTTACAACGAAACTTGATGGGGGCGCACAATGTCATATGTGGAAGATATCTTCCATGTAGGTACACAAGGCGTGCGCTTACAGGCCAGCGCGAAACATGAGCCATGGGGTGCGACTTGGCAGCGCAATTAAGCCATGCTCGTGAGAACAAAGTTGTCTTGGCTTTTATTCTAAGCTGCGGCCTAAATGGCTGCAGAGCCGTGCCACCATGCTTTGTTCCCGTTGTACTGTATGAGTATAGTAGGTACTAACACAACACAAAGGGCATATACACAAACCCCCACTCCAAATCTTGGGCGCCTAGATTGTAAGAAGCCTCGTCGTCTCGTAGCCAATAAATCGCAGCTGGCTCAACAATCAATCAGTTCTATCGGCATAAAGGCGGCCCATTCTCAGGGCTGCATCGAATGAGCTCTTATTGGAATCCAGCAAGTCATTCCAAAAGCGCCGTCTTCAGCTTTGACAACATGAAAGTACCTATATCACAGGTGCTCTTTGTAATCATTTGAAGATGAGACTGGCGTCCATAGGGGGTCTGTCGGAGTATATCCGTCCATCTCACGTTCCACCCCGGACGGAAACAGACTCAATTACATCGTTAAAGGAGCACGTTTCATCCAAAGCCCGTCAAAATGACCGACAAAAGATCCCCAATCTGGCAAATCGGAACAGCACAGACGGCCAGTTTCGTACTCATACCAAAGTGTTTTTCGCCAGCACTGCCCTTCTGGTTTGTGACAAGTCCCTTTTTCATCACTCCGTATACCTGCAGCCAAAACAAAGAGCGAAAAGCGAATTGAACCCTTTGACGCTTCAGGGGCCAAATGCACAGATGCAAGTGCAAGGGCAAGGGGAGGGAAATAAGCCCCCCAAAGGAGAGAAAAACGAGAGCCCACAGCTTTTGCCGTGTGCCGGTCGTGAAACCTCCTTGGCGCTCGTTAACAGAGCCATCTGAAACTCCGTCTTTGCACTTCGAAACAGCGCTCCGTCCTCGTTCGCTTTCCCAGCTGACAGATGTTGAGGAACTTTTTATTCCCGGTCTCATCTTCTTGGCACAGACGTCATATTCCGTAAAGGGCATTCGGAATCTCGCAATCTGCTTCCTTGAGCTTCGGCTTGCCGAATTCTGCTGTTTCACCCCTTCTGGGCGGGGGATGGCTTCAGTGTTGGCCGTTTCGGATACCCTGGAGCGGAAACAAAGAGAAGAGCAAAATGACAAAACAGTCATTGGCAGAGAAACAATTGTCTTGGCGATGGTATTTCCCGTCGTGTTTCTATATCCGTTAATTTGATTGAGGCATTCATGATTTCAATATCCTTGGCATAGGCTTCGATTCGTTCTCTATATGCAAAATCATATCTGCTCGCTATTATACGCAAGATCAAATATGGGAGAAGCAACCTGGTGTCCGTCCCCACACTTCTAGGCGTAGGTATTCGATTACAACTCTCCAATATAGTCCTCCATCTCTTCTGCAAGCTCATCAACAGGCTCTTCATAATCCTCTGCGGGTCGCTTGCCGGTATAGCTGGCGTCCCTCTTTTGGAACTCGTCAACAATCAGATCTAGCCATGCCGCCATCCGGTATCCTGCGCGAGCGACTTGTTTCTCGAGCATGGGCGCTGCCTTTTCGTAGTACTCGCCGCTCAGCTCCTGGCCAACAATGGCCTTGGGACCCTCAGGGAAGACTATCAAACGGTGAGGTGAGTTGCAAAGCTAAAAACATTGACAAGACAGGCGACAAACTTACCATATTCGCACACAAGCTTGTTACACTCCCGCGACCAAGCCATTGCCGTTTCGATCGGATCGCCAAAGTCCAAGTCCGCCAGCCAAGCATCCTTCTCCTTTGAATATATGCCGCTGTTGATCTCGTCAGTGAGGTCCTTGGACCACTTTTCCGCCAACGGGTACGGCTTTCCGCGACCGAGCCATTTCTCGGCAATGGAGCTATCCCAAACGTGATGCAGGTTAAAGTCTCGTCCATTCCACTTGACGTGGATACCATTTCCGCCCCTCGCAACGTCTTCGTTATGCAATGGCTGGTGCAGGTCGCCGACAAAGTGAATGACAAACTTGGCAGCCTGGGCACGTTGCCATGGCGGCAGCGACGGGTCGAGGGACTGCTCGGTGTAGTTGGCTAGGGCGGTGATGACACAGCCGGTCCCCTTGCAGTCGCGGTCAAAGTCGACGTTGCACGACTCGGGCGGGCTATCGTGGGCATCGATGAAATGGAACGTGCTCGTGAACCTGCCCCATTTCGTGTATCGGATCGAGTCGGCCCAGCTGGCTACCTTGGCCATGTAGTCGGGCTCATTGCTTCGCAGGAGGTGCTTGAGGTAGGCCTCTGTGGAGTTGCTGACAAACTGGCTGGCAATGTAGGCGGTCGTGATGTGGCCCAGACCTTGATTCGGAGAGGATGATTGTTAGAATGACTGGTGATGGTGTTGACTAGAGAGCGTCACGGGGGAAAGACAGGAGACGCAGGAGACAATACACACCTCCCCAAGCCATGGCCCCTGGCAGGGAGACGAGGCTGAAGGCCACGGCATTTGAGAGCTTCATAATGGCTGCTGGCTGCAAAGATACGGCGCACACGGTAAACAAAAGGTCAATCTGGCTATTCTAAATGAATCGGCGAGATGGAATGATGATGAAGAGATGGTTGTTGTTGATGAAGATAAAGTACGAAGTAGAAGCAGATGCAGGAGTGACCTCGAGGGATGGAGCTCGCAGGCTACCAAGGTACCAGGTACCTTACCCCAGCAGTACTAAGGTACTAACATGCACTCCAGCCACTGCTCAACTGCGTGCGGTGCCTGGTAGCAGCTGGCGCCTCGCTGCATCACGGCAATTATGGCTTTGCATTACTCACATCAGCACAAGCGGCTGTCTGTCTTGATCACGCGCATTACATCATGCCCGGTGCATCAGCTGGGCGCGGTTGAGCCATGTGCCCGCCTCGAGTGGGCTGCGGTCTCGGCGGCGCCGCTGCGCCAAAGAGAGCGATTGAGTTTTTTGTGCGAATCTGGCTTTTCAGTTGTCGAGTACTCGTACATTGTTGCTTCTTCTGATCGAGTCAAAAACGTTTGATAATGAGGTGACACAAAGAGCAGAGAAGATACTGAGGTAGCACCAACACACTGCAGCGCATCTGTTATCTACCTGTATAAGCTGACCGACCGCAACAGAATGACGATGCAAGGCCAGCGTAGAGATAGCGCGGGAAGTTACACTGGCTGCGCTATGCATGCACCCCACCAATCCCTAAAATCCTCCACAGCAGACCCTTGATCTGTCTCTTGTGCAGGATTCGCGTCCAATCAGCGTCTGCGCTTCTATCGCTGACCCGCGATAAGGAGCCTCCGACAAGCCGTAAGAGCACCGGTGATCTTGACCAGCCGATGCTTTGACTCTCCGCACAATCTCGCTCTCCCTTTTCCAGCCTTTGACGCTCTCTTGCTGCTGGCTCGACCGTCTCTCCCTTTCTCTCGAAGCTGCAGAGCAAGCGACGCATCTTGTCCAGCATCTACTGAACGCCGCCGCAACCCGCCCGACTTCCTTATCATGGCGTCTCTTGCGATGGCCGTGGTGAACGAGGCAGTGAAAGAGCTGCCTCTTCACAAAGCTATATCGGGAATCTTTGGAAGCATTAGCATGGCGGCATGGATATGCGTTATTGTATGTGCTCAATTTCTGGTTCCTTGCGCCCAAGAAGGACCTTGTCTAACTGCGCAACACCCGGCAGCTCCCTCAGATGATTGTCAACTACCGAGCGAAGAGCGCCGACGGCCTGAGCATGCCGTTTCTGGTGGTCTGGATGATTGGCGACGCCACCAACTTGATCGGTGCGCACTCCCGCAAGATTCCCACGACTCTCTGCAAATACTCCCGCGGAGAAGCCGTCTATAAGCGGAGCTGACTGTTACATTAGGCGGACTCTTTACGCATCTCGCGCCGACAGCGGTCGCATTGGCCATGTACTTTTGCGTCGCCGACTTCCTCCTCATCTCGCAGTGCCTATACTACAACACGATCAACGCTCGCCGAGCTGCCGAGGAGGCGGAGGCCACCGAGGAGGCGCCCCTTCTTGGAGAGCGGCGCATGTCGCATCGCCGATCGGTGTCGAGCGTGGACGCCAGCAAGATTGCGCCGGCCGGCGACGAGCTGATTGAGCGGTCCTCGTGGTCGTCCAACGCAGCCAGCCTGGTTGGCGTATATGTTGTTGGATTCATGGGGTGGTACCTCTCATACAAGGCTGGAGCGTACAACGAGGCAGACCCTGTCGTCTTCAACGCCGTGGCTTTTGAGTCGTCAGACTTGCTGGAGAAGATTGGCATGATGCTGGGCTACTTTAGCGCAGTGTGCTACCTCTGTGCTCGAATTCCCCAGATCATCAAGAACTACCGAGAAAAGTCTTGCGAAGGTAAATCCAGCCGACCATTAATCGACGCCATCATACGCTAATCACTTTCAACAGGCCTCTCGATTCTGTTCTTTATGCTTTCCCTGACTGGAAACCTGACGTACGCCATCAGCATTGTGGCCTACTCCCAGGACAGGAAATACATCATCAACACCATCCCCTGGCTTATTGGGTCTCTCGGCACGGTCGTCGAGGACGGCACCATTTTTGTGCAGTTCCGATTATACGCCAACAACAGGCGAAGCGACGGCCAGGCATAAAGCATTACCGACCGACCGGGGGTTTTGTCTCGGCTGTGGGTGCATTGTAGAGCGGAATATGGGTTCACTCGACTCGGCATAATCTGGTGTTTACTTGTTTGGTTTTTAGTATTGGATGAGGCGTCACGATGTGTTTCACTTGGCGTTCTGGCGCAGCATGTTGATATGGGACTTTTAGGTTGAGTCTCATCTGCATAGGTATTGTTTACCTTGGATACTGAGGTAGGGCATGAAGCCCATTGGGAAGGACTGCCTGTCTTGATTGCAGGCAGTCTCACGGGATAGATTCTCAGAGAGAGCAATCATATAAGCAATTTTCTTCTTCTTTCTCAATCGTCTCTTTTGTTCAATCTCAAATAGGAAAAAAACACCACTTGAGCAATATTTTATAATAAATCAATATCGACTTATATACCTGATACTGTCTACACTAATAATCCCAGTGTCCGGCACCGCGCAAAAAAAAAAAAAAAAAAAAGCTAGTCTGACGTATGGCGACGCTCCGATGGCGGGGCAGCAATTGAGCTTAATCCGGTAGCCAACACTTTTGGGAGTCAGAAAGTTCAAACCAACATTTCTTTTCCCTTTGGCTGACGATCTTTAGAAATCTAGATCTTTTAGAAATCTAGATCTGAGCCGCCTGTTTGTGTTATCGAGCTTACCATATCATATACCCCTCTCTCCTTTTCAATCTCTTGTTATTGCGACATCGCGTGTCACCCCATCTGAGCTCTATCGGCTCCCATCTTCACCCTCATACAAACCACTCCAGCAAAATCACCCACCATGGCAACGCAATCCCCTCGCAAGAAGTGCGGTACGACTGACCCCCCATCATCACACATCTCCCCTCTCTTCCAAGCCGTCCTTTCTAACACAATCAATCCTCAGGCGTCCTCGGCTGCACCGGCTCCGTCGGCCAGCGCTTCATCCTCCTGCTGCAAGGCCACCCGACGCTCGAGCTGCACGCAATCGGCGCCTCGTCCCGCTCCGCCGGCAAGAAGTACAAGGATGCCGTGCGGTGGAAGCAGGCCTCGCCCATTGGCGACGTCGCCGAGATGGTCGTGAGGGAGTGCCGCCCGGAGGAGTTTGCCGACTGCGACGTGGTGTTTAGCGGCCTCGATTCCGATGTCGCTGGCGATGTTGGTACGTTGTTTCATATCACATTGACATTCTCGCATCACATGAAAGAGAGAGACGGAGAGAGAATGATTGACTGATTCTGGCGCTGAAAAACAGAAATGGCTTTCCTCAAGGCCGAAATCCCCGTCTTCTCCAACGCCAAAAACTACCGCCGCGATCCCCTCGTCCCTCTCGTCGTGCCCACCGTCAACCTGCCTCACCTCGACCTCATCCCGCACCAGCGCTCCGTCCACGGCCTGAACAAGGGCTTCCTCGTCTGCAACTCCAACTGCGCCGTCATCGGGCTCGTCATCCCCTTCGCCGCGCTGCAGGCCGCCTTCGGCCCCATCTCCACCGTCAGCATCGTCACTATGCAGGCCGTCTCCGGCGCGGGCTTTTCGGGCGTCTCGGGCATGGACATCATGGACAACGTCGTGCCCTTTATCCAGGGCGAGGAGGACAAGCTCGAGACCGAGGCCAGGAAGATCCTCGGCGCCATCGACCCCTCCAATACCGCTTTCGTCGAGCAGGAGGCCCTGCGCGTATCGGCTTCGTGTAATCGCGTCGCTGTCTTGGACGGCCACACGGCCTGCGTCAGCCTCAAGTTCGAGCGCCAGCCCCCTCCCTCGCCTGAAGAGTGCAAGGCCGCCCTCAGGGCATATGTCTCCGAGGCCCAGAAGATTGGGTGCCCGTCTGCGCCGAACCCGCCCATCAAGGTCTTTGACGAGGACGACCGGCCGCAGCCGCGCCTGGACCGCGACCTGGGCAGGGGATACACCGTCAGCGTGGGCAGAGTGCGGGCTGACGAGAGCGGCATCTTCGACTTGAAGTTTGTTGCGCTGAGCCATAACAGTGAGTCTTCTCCCCTTTTCTTTCGTACAAGTCTTGTTATAGGGTAGATGTGGCTAATTGTCTTGACAGCGGTTATTGGAGCGGCTGGTTCCTCCATATTAAATGCTGAGGCAGCCATCCTCAAGGGCTACATCTGATTGCATTTCGCAATGTTGTACATGTACATATATAGAAAAGTTTAAATCGTGGACTTGGTTACAGAGAAAGAAAAAGAACAAATGCAATATCAATGACTTGGATTATGACCCGTATTGTTGGCCTCACCGTGAGTGTTACTGCTGTCACTAACTAAGCCAAACGCATCAACGGCCCTCTCATTATATCAAGGGCTCAACTATAGACACATGTTGAATCAGTGCGTGAGCTTGTACAATATGACTGCAACTCAAATGACAGGAGATCAAAGCCTGCCACCATCCATGGCCCGGCATCCATTACCGCACTACGATAACTAAATACAGATATCCACATGAACCGCCATCAACTCGAGGGTATAAGTATTCTTCCATCCGACACCCAACAGGCGCTCATCCATCAAACAGCCTCCTCACTCCTCTATCTCTCCCCATAACCAGCTCGCCACAAAGGCAAGGACACGCACACAGCACAACGACACCTCCAGTACAAAAACAAAAGAGCCATTCAAGGCGATACTTCCATAATGCTTGCTTAATCCCAAAAAAACAAAAGAAAAAAAAAACTCCTATTCCTCCCATGTCCACTACGCCAAAAGCGCATGATTGTTGCTGTCCCTGACAACAAGGTATACCGCTGAGATAGATTTTAAAGCAGAGATATGCCCGCATAAACCGTTGATATGCTTGCCGACTCGTTTGGAGCGACGTTCAGCTGACGGGCTCGGTCAACTCCAGGAAAGTCGTTGAGATGAAACCTCGTTAATCAGATCACGCCTGGCGATCATCTGATGGCGGAGATGGAGACTGTGCCCTGCGTCTACCTCCGGGTAGGATGAAGAAGAAATTATCTTGCCAGTTCGAGCGGCGTGCCGCCGTGGGCTCCGCCTCGGCAACGCCTTGCTCGAGATCCTCGTCGGTGGATGATCTAGATCCGGAACCTTCAGCTACTTGGTCGTCGTCATCGTCGTCGCCGTCGTCATGGTATGGCTCGTATCTAGGGCCAGCCCACGAGCCACGAGCCATGGAGCGGACCACATCTCCCTTGCAGATGGGGCATGTTCGTCGGCGGGTTGTCAACCAAGGAGTGCTATCCATCTTGTCAGCCTGATGCTTTAAGAAAAACACAACGGAAAAGAAAAACTCACATGCAGTCGGCGTGGAATTCATGGCCACAAGGCAGCCTCATCACCCTACTCACGCCATCGACATACTCCTCCAAGCAGACAACACATTCCACCTGTCTTCCCATGTACTTTTTCCACTCTGCCGAGATGGCGCCTCGTTCGTGCCCTGAGCGACCGGTACGAGAGCTCCGCTGTGGCAGCGTTTGCGGTAATGCCAAGTCGCTAGGAGTAGGGGTAAGAAAGTTTGCGCTCTCCATGACGCCGGTGGTCGTCCTGGAACGGGGCCGCGATCTCGGTGGGCTAGAGTTGTGGGTGTGCTGTAACAGCGGCGTGGTCGGCGTTGGGGATGAGACCCTGGGCGATAGGCTGGGGGATCGGGCGACTGTGTGATACGTCCTGACGGGCAGACGTTCCACCACAGACTTGGGGGCCCGCCATCTTCTCCTACGAATTCTGGCTCGTAAAACTAAAAGTGCATACACAATAGAGAGAGTCACCAGGGGGCTGATGACGAGAACAAGGAGCGTGTCGAAGAATGGACTGGCGCTGCTGGTTGGTGTAATGGTAACCCAGAGGCCTTCATGAGGTACAGGATCTTCATCTTCTTCAGGCAAGTCGTCGTCATAGTCGCCGTCTTCGGAGTCAGCAAGCACAGCATCTAGTTCGTCGTCCTCGTCATCGCCAAAGATTCTAGAAATAAGGCCGCGGCCCTTTGTAGATGGTGAAACACCCCTCAGCTCAAAGGCCGAGGTGGCTTCGTTTTCGTCATCAGACACTTTACGCAGCTTATACTCGCCGCTGCCCGGGGTAATGCTTCCTCCTTTTGGCTTATCAACGCTGGGTGTCTTGTCGGAGACGTCGCCCTTGGAGTTGGAGTTGGCTGGCGCGTCCTTGCCTACAGAAGTCGCCTTGCTTTTGCCCATGACATCTGGATCCCGCCAGTCTTGAACCCCGATGACAAAGTCGTCGCCCTCAGATTTCGGCCGTTTCGGTTGCTTCTTGGATTTAGCCACGCTGGGTTTCATGGTGCTGTCTTGCTCATCTTCCCAGTCCTCAACCATGACCCAATCCAGCTGGCCGCTGCTGGGTGGCCTGCTTTCACTGTCGACGCCGCGAGAAGACGTGCCCCAGCTGAAAAGGCGCTTGAACCAACCACTTGGCTTCTCCTCGACCTTCTTTCTCTTCGTGATTCGTTTTTCCTTGGTTGAAGTTTTGGATTTTTTCGAGGGCGCCTTCTTCTTGGAATCGGCGTCTTTGCTCTTCCTGGCCTTGGAGCCCTGCTGGACTTTGAGGACGGGATTGCCGTTATCGTCAAGCGTATCTTCGATAAAACTGCCAGGCTGCGTCAATGAAGAGAGCAGCTGTGCCGTGGTCCGGGCAGTGAAGACGGATGGAATTGTCACGTTGTCGACCTCGTCGCCGCGAGCAAACATCTGGATTAGGGGACCTCCCTTGACGTTGTCGCCAACGATGACGCCAATAGCTCCTCTTCGCTGCGCCCACATTACTTTCTCCAAGAAGCCACATCCTCCACGCATTAACAAGACAATCTTGCCCTTGATCTCGGCCCCTTCTTGGATCGACTGGATATCGGCGTGGGAAGACATGGAAAGGTCCCGTCGAGTAAGCGGAAGTCTTTGGTGGAGGTGATTGTCGGTGCCGTCATCGGTGGGGATGTCTTCGCTGAGACTTGCTTTGGTGTCTGTTTTGGAGCTATCCAGACTTATAAGCTCTTGGCTGCGCCTCGGCCGGCGAGCAGACTTGGAGGCATCTTTCTTGTGCGATGCAGGTCCGTGAAAGGGCTGCTTCAGCACATGCTTCGCGCCGGCACCATCCCAGCCTGGGAGGTCGCTGCAGCCCAGCTCGCCGTTGCCGTCCAGACTATCCTCAATGAAACCGCTCCCAACCCACAGCTGCCCACTTAGACCGTTGGGCCGCAACCTAGGGCCGAAGGCCGCAGGCCGCGCCGCAAAAGACGTGCTGTTGTCGTCGGTCAAGCTGATGGCGGCGTTGGGAGGGAACAGAGAGAAGGGCGTGTTGTAGAAGATGAGCCCCCATACCGATCTGTTTGGTCGCAGCTCCGTGGGGTACCGGGAGTCTGCGGCTCGTTTGGAGGCTGTCGCTGCGCGGAAAAGGAGGAACAAGGACGCGGATATACAGAGAACGAGAATCACAATCCGGGGAGTGCGCATCGTGAAGAGCGCGGCTGTCGGCCGGCCGCAGACGGAGTGGTTTTTGCTTGTTTTTGTTTTTTGTCTTGTTTTGATTTGGGTTTCTCTTGTGGCGTTTGGCCAAAGTAATGCCGCCTCAGGGAGCTGACGTCGGCCGGCGGAGACACGTCATGGGACGAGCGGATAAGAAAAGAAACTCGGGTATCGGATAAACAGGAAGGAAAAGAAACAACAAGACGGCGGAAATAACAAAAGAATCAGCTTTCTAACGAGACGATAGGACGGATGCAAGCAAGAGGAGCGCAAGGAGGAAAAGAGGCGATGTCTAGGTAGAGATGAAGGCGGAAGTTGAGGTGCTGAGGAGTAACTTGGAAAAGTAAACAGGCGGGGCGGGCAAAGGCTGCACTGCACTGCACTGGATTGAAAGATGCACGTCGACGCCATCAGAGGGCCAAAGGTGGACCGCCTATACTAATACGCTGTTTCTGGGGCTTAGGGAGCAGCCGGCAGTGGATGGGCGGAGCTTGGCGGGGGGGCTGAGGTCGCTAATTGTGCCAAGGCACTCGCCTGTAAATTCAAATCCAGGTGCTTTCAGCGATGTGACATTTGATCCATTTGACGCACCGGACAGACAGTGACATCCGTCTTGACGGCCAAGTATAGACAGACAAGCAACATTTGATGTCATGTTTTGTCACTCGACTGAATGCATGCAAACCTAGATTCCCGAATGTCGCCAGATTTACATCGGACCATGGCTTTTTGTTCGGCTCCGGCAATTCCAACAGAACGCACTGGCCTGGCCTGACGAAACGGAGCATCGCGGGTTGGTGATAGATTTGAAGCTCAGCGGCAACGGATTAGTGCGTTGGCGGGTGGGACGATGGGTGGAGCTTGGAAACTTTGGCGACATAGCTTTGACGCATCCCGTCTTGTTATCCATTGTTGTTATTGTTGACGGATTCAGTGCAGACATCTCTTGCTGTACTATTTGCAATGATGTCATTTCACTATCTGTGTCTAATTCCTCATTTATTCAACATCTTCCCATAGAAACAAACCACACAAGCAAGCGGTTGAGGAAACCCCCAGCCAAGCCCAAAGCACAAACAAATCCCAAAGTCCCCCATGCAAACCACAGCAGGACCTCAAAAAGCTTCAGGCCGCCCACAGCTTGCCAGGGTCCCGCTGGAATTAGGTTCTGATAGCCATACCAGGGGCCACCACTTCGATCCACTACGCAGAAGCAAAAATAGCCTGACGCAACTCGTGATGCCCATCATGTGGAGATGGTCTGACCTTTGCCGGATGCCAAAAAGACAAAAAACCCTGTGCTTGTGATCAAAATCCTGCAGATACCCAGGTTTGCGGGCGAAACACGCGCGTGCAACAGATAAGAGAAACATTTTTGTTGTTTGTTCTCCAAGGTGAGAGCGAAAAATGGCTCGGATGAGTGCACACGTGCCTCAGAGACTGCGCTTAAAGCGAATACGAAGGGGAGTCGGCACTTTCATATCGCCTGGTTGGGACCCCTTGCATATGCAGATGATTACGTGCGATGCCCACTTTGGGCCTATTCCTCGGGGCCTCTAGTATCTTGTTGTATAGTCTATGGAGTCTTGTACGAGAAGAACCAAATAGAAGTAGTAGTAGTAATTTCGTTGTCCGAGAATATTGTTCATGTTGTATCATCATAGCTCATAATTCATGACTCGCTCTCGGCGATACGCAGGTATCCAAGAGCCTCCACCTTCCTGTATATCCATCGAAAGGAAGTCAACCGGTTTATCCGTATCCAATGCCATACTGCTCCAAATTAAATCTGTGTGTATGCTCCTCACGACTCCTCCGATAGGATGCCGTGCAAGACGATATCACCATCGCTATCCTCCCTCTTCCCACGATCCCATGCCCTCTCCTCGCCAGCCTTGGACCATACCACGTTCTCCTCGGTTTTTTCTCGTTGAGTGTTGTTGATCCGCTGAATCTGGTGGTCTGCGAACCCGGCGGCCTTCATCCGCTCGTCCTGCACTTGACGCAGCTTCTGGCGATCCCTAAACGCCTCCACTGCGTCGTCCCAGTTGTTCTCCTCTTTATCGGGGAGGACATCTGTGCTGGGATCGTACGAATCAGAAAATCGCCGATCTAAGCTCGCCGTGCCGGCAACTGTCCCCCGGCCGCGGTACTTTGGAGGCGGAGCAGGCCCGATAAATTCGTCTAGGGGGTCTGACTCATCGTCGTCGTTTTTGAGATGCGAATTTCTCGAAGCTGGCTTCTCCGCAGCCAAAGGAGAGCGACTGCGATGTTTGCTCCTCTTGGTTTGAGGTGAACGAGAACGACGTCGACGGCGAGGCGACCTAGACCGATCTCGGTGGCGATCGCGGTCGCGGCCATGTCGATGTCTATCCTCAGAGGAGCCATCGCGATGTTTCCTCCGTGAGCTCCGTGGCTGATCTTCGCGGTGACTCCTTCGCTCGTCTCCCTCAGGGCTTCGCGACAATCGACCGTAATCTTTCCTCGACTTGTGACGATCAGTGCCCGCATCCCTATCTCGACGCGACGCCCGGCGCGAATGGCGGTCGCTGTCGCTCTTGCTCCTCGATTTTTCGTCGTCGGCCGACCTCGCGTTGTCATCTCGTTTGTGCTTTGGTCCGCCCAGAATTGACTGAATATTCCCCAGCTGCCGTCTCCGTACATCTCCGGCCGTTGGGTTCGTTCTCCGTCGCTTGGCTTCCTCGGCGCGCTCCAAATCCCTGAGCCTCGCCTTGGACTCGGCGGCCTCCTTGGCCAGCAGCGCCTTGTTGTGCGAGTCCGTATCCCTGATGATGTTTCTCAGAAACCTCGTATTCGGCTTCGGTACGTTGGACGGCCTTAAACTCCGTCAGAATAACATCCCCCCACGCGCGAAGAACAGCGGGCGACATTACTTGGTATTTGCGTTGAAAGCTTCCATTCCCATTGCAGAGTACTTTATCGAGCAGTCGCTGGCCTCTTTGGCCAGAAGACCGGCGACATAGTCGTCTGTAAGGATGTCGTCGTTTGGCATAGCAAAAGCAAAGTAATTGTAATTTTAAAAGCAAGATATCGGCGATGTCGCAAAGAAAGCAAATGCGGTTGTTGACAAGAGGATCGTGTTTTGGTGACGGGCTGTGTAAAGATCCGGGATCCTTAAAAATGGATGACTCAGCTCGAGCCAAATCCCTGCCGATAAGATAAGACGTGCATACATAATTTTTCCGGAGTGATCAGGCTAACCGAATCGGGTTCAATGTAAACACGCTTGCATCGGCTCTTCAAAGCACCATCCATTTTCAGGAGAGGCTATTCAGAGTCATAGGCGTTGTATATACGCCTTCGTTTTATTAGGAAATTGGTAAAAGCTTCCACAGCATCCCAAGATGAGCGCCAAAACTCCAGCCCAGGTGCTTGAGACACTGCGTCGCCTGCAATCGAGCAATGAGCTTTCCATCATCAAACTCAGTGAATCCATCTCAAATTCTACGCCGAATGACACCCTTCAGCGCATCTCTGACGCGTCCAACACGTCGCTTGACGGACCTTCCCCCACGAGCCTGGACGCAGACCTGATTCACTACAAAGAACTCTTCGCCAAGCTCCGATTTTCCTATGTCGAGCAGGTGACCAAGGAGAAGTTTATCCGCGCCATCGTAGGGGATCCGCCTCTCATCGTCACTCTTCAGGAGAACCTGGATCTGGAACGAGAAAATGCCGAGGCGAAAGCGCAACTCAAGAACCTCAAACTGGAGGTGGCAGATCTGGTGTCTGACTTGGAAAAGAGGGGGCGGGACCTGAGCAAGCGGTACGAAAACATTCAGCTGGAGACGGTGCGCTTGGAAGAGCTGCCAGCCAAGATTGTCGAGTTGGAGAGCCGGATCAAGGAGCTCAAGGACAAGCATGAATCTTCAGAGTCGGATCCAAACCTCCGACTGCCTCTCACAAAGACGCTTGGCCTCGTGTCGAAGCGGAAGGCAGAGCAGCAAGAACTTGCGCGTGAGCTCGAGGCGCTGCAGGCCAAGGTTCCCAGAAAGAGAAAGGAAGCAGAGAGGTTGCAAGCCGAGCTGCAGCCTTTGGAGGTGAAACGCCAAAGCAGCACCACGGCTGCGCGTGAGGCTCGCAGGAGAAAGGAGGCGGCTCTTGGCGGAGTTGCCGATGACCTTGAGCAGAGAGCTCGATGGTGGAGGGCAAGTGAGAGTATGTTGAAGCAAGTCCTCGATATCAACACATGATGCCTAGGAGAAGCAATAAGCGATACTACGAGGATATGATTTATGGGCACTCATTGGGGGTTTAAGGCGTTTTACGGAGACACTGGGACAGATGTGACGGGAGAATGGGAATGGCGCTGGATGGCATGACTGTTGGGTTGGGAACCGCATTGCGGGAGTATTTGATGTATATATTGTTGTATGGCGTCTGCTGTTAAGTCATTGAGATTCCTTGTCCTATGAATGCGGAAGGATTCGAACAGCTGCAATCCATCGGAATCAGTCTCGCATATAAAAATGGCCACTTAATCTAGGCATGGCTATAGCACTTCACTGAATTGACACTCTATTTCAGCAAATTTCTTTCTTTGAAGCAATATTTGGTGAGACGGTGATTTGAGCCCAATACCGGCAATGTTGAGTAGTTATGAAGCGAGGTCCATGAGATATCATCGTGCGTGGCCCCCTTGCATCAGATCATCCATCATGTTGAACCATGAATACACCAACTTAGTAACACTTGATAGCATGCTCATTTCAAAGAACTAAACTATTAATTTAGTATAAACAAGTCTAATGACCAGAAAAATGGACAGATAGGATGTGAAGCAAGCAATCTTGACCATGCTCCGCGTCTAGATATGCCGTATTGGTACTCTTTGAACTCGCACATAAGATGAGAGAACTCTTTGCTCTACTGCCATGAGAGTACGTAAACTAAGAATAAGATACAAAAAATTTACTGTCAAAAAAAGCACGAGTTTCTCTCGTCGTCTATCCGTTCTTACATCTAGGTATCTTTTGTCTTGATCGATATGCCTTCTCTAGTTGACATGTCTGCGTCAAAGCGATTGACAATACGGCAGAATTACGTGTAGCTTAATACGAGCAAAAAGCAGCAAATTTACAATGTAACTCAATGCGAATACTGGGAGACAATGGAAGAGTCACAATGCCGGAATATGGAGCTATTCATGATTTCAGGGGTATGGATATACAGGCGCGCCCAGCCACGCAGTATTATTTGACTGTGGAATGATAAAGAGAGATGCGAGATAAGATTCTACGCTGTTAAGCATGTTCGTATGCTGTGTTTATAGATATATTGGGACACTATTGAACCTTGTGGCCATGTTATCCAATTCTTGCAGTTTGGCCTCGATTCATCTCAAGGGGGGGTATTGGTATAACTCTCGCATAACTCAACCACAAGCTGTCTTTGACAAGCAGAAAGAGCATGAGCACTATTGTCAAATTGGAACAATGAAATAAACCGGTATAGGATGCTCTGTTTAAGCTGTAAAGATTGTAAACGGCGACTCCATCGTTACGCCCGATAGTGCCCCGTCGGCCATGTCAGTCTCGTTTATCCGTGTAAGTCTAACAGCCAAGCTCATAATGTGGGCTTAGTTCAATTCAATCCAAGGGGGTATTGAAAGCTAACTGAATCGATTTAGCAACTATGGCTTGCCAGCTTTCTTCGGTCCCCACGATATGAGAGAGTGTTGATTGTAATGAACAGCCTAGCGATGCCACTCAAACGGTTCCAAGTATCATGCATAATCTTTCCGCTCTACATTCCACAAGCCTCAAAAGCCCTCTAATCAAACAACTCAATCCATCATTGGCCATGGAAAGAAACAAGTGTCACATGAGCTCCTGGCCTTCACCACTACGGCACTTATCATCAAAAGCCCACGCGCAAGAGCTGAACCTACCTCGAGCTCCATGACTCGCTCGCATCCTACAGCTACGATTGAGCTTGTGAAACCCCTCTTTCATCTTCCTCTTAACCCAAACCGTGCCATCATTCTCGTTAAGCTACCGCCGATACGCTGCAAGCACCGTATGGCCCGCCAATCAACAAGAACGAGGCGTTCCCCCTCTGCCCAAGGACCAACAACACAACAGCAAAGCTACCGCCAAGTTATCGAAGCCACAAGGGGCCTCAGCTGAAGAAGGCTTGTCGCCGTTTTTCTCCTGGCTACTACCCCGCAAAGTATGCTGCCTTGAGAGGTCGTGCAGCCTCGCCCCCCGAGGTTCTATCCACGATCTGGATCGCGCTCCGTCGCAGCGTGGCTTCTCCCTCTAGCTGGATGCCACACTCTTTGCAAACGCAGCGGCGGCTCTCTATCTCTAGTCGATGCCACACTTGTTGCAAACGCAGCGCCGGTGTCGAGTTTGTCACACGTGCGCATCTGAAAGCACGTTTTGGGCTCGTGCGAGTGACGTTTGGGCGATGGAACTAGAGGCGCTGGGCTTGGTGGGAGGATCACGACTAACTACTAAACCTTTTGCAAACGCCGCCTCCCTCCTCTTCTTTCGCGTAACGTTTGTTTGCCGTGTCTTGTGTCTGAAGCGAGATCTACCGGATACACGGCAATGGAGCACTTGTGCTAGACGCTGCTTTGACTATATGCTTACTTGCAGATGCGGGATGTACAGGTGTCTCATTATCACGGCTGCAAGTTTCTCTACGCCACAACCTGGAGCTCTTTACTATTAGATTCGCCGACGGTACGAATACCGACGGGATGGGTACTGTACCTGGGCTGAGAAAGCGGTGATGTCGGTGTCGGTGACTTGGCGTTTCAATAGAAGTGGAAGAAAGGGCGAGATGTGTTCGAATACGCCGCATTTACACAGGAAGAAGCGCCTCATGAGGCCACAGCAGAATTCGAGAAAGCGGGCGTTCGAGGGGAAACGAAGGCGGGAAAGAGGAGGGGAGTGAATCGAAGCAGGATATGAAAAATCAAATAGATAAATTAAAAAAGAAATAAATAAATGAGAAGTTTACTAAAAAATAAAGGATAAATTCAAAAAGGAATGATGGCAGATGGCAATGGCAAACGAGTTTTCGTCTAGTCGTATAATAGTCCCGTTGCTAGCTACCTGATTGCAAAACCCGAGTTGTAATGTGTCTTTTCGGTCCCGACCAAGTTGACAAAAAAGTTGGAATAGATTTTGCTCGCTGATGGGGATAGGGCTGAGTGAGGAGAAGCTCGGGAGTTGGTGTTGTCTTGCAAAGTTGATGCTTTTTGGCGCTGAGTAGAGCAGTTAGGCTGAAGCCACAACAAGAGCTGATTGGGATGGGAATCGCATGATGGTTGCGAGCGGGGACTGGCGATTGGGCACAGATACATGTATTTAATCTGGTATCTCGATTCAAGGTTTGGCTAGCACATGCTTTGGATGATCTTCAGCCCGCGCTTCCTGACTCAGTCCAAGCCGTCAATTGCATCCATGGGGTGTCAAACATGTTGTGATAAGCGCTTGAGGCTCCAATTATAGTCATTGCTAGACGAAGATCTGGGGGCAAAAGCGTGCCGCCTGGCTGGTGCTGCCACCCGCGTGAGAATCTTTATCTCTCGTAGCGAGACGGCATGTCTGATACATGTATTACTTATTACTTGATAAGAAACCAAAAATAAAAAAAAAGACACGTCTTACTCAGGCCATGCAAGAGAGAGAGAGAGAGTAAACAAACTTGGTCTCGACTCAGGGTCTGTCTCGGCATCGGTGTCTTCAATGTCTGTTCCCCCCACCTCGAGCTACGAGTATTCGGAATAAACTCTTTTAACTCTATGCACCTCCATCACTCAAAAGTTGCCTTCTAACCCCATTGGCAAGGCTGAGATTTGACTTGACACCGCCCGGTCGGTACTCGTATGTGCCACCACGGCGAGACGGGTGGCCGAGTGGGATTGACTCGCTGTCCGTCGTACTACTCGGACTACAAACGCCAGTGGGATGGCCAAGCTAAAAGGAAGGGAAGAGGAAGTGGAGGGGGGGCCTCGATTTCGAAGGAAGATGGTTGAACGATAACGACTGGAGTAGAGACGACTAAGAGCCACGCTGGATTGATTCCCATTCAATCAGCCCCCCCTCCTTCTCCTCCTCTGAAGGATCAATTCGTCCGCTGGGTTACAGCATGTACATGTAAGTCCAAGGTAAGGTAGCTCAGCATCGCGGCAAAAGGATTCCGATGGCAGCCTATCACCAGCAAGGGGCGCCACCGCCATGGCACCAGCTCCGGCCCAGCGAAAAGAAACGGGGCTAGGGAAAGTTTGCCAACTGCCGCAATTTATTCGCTCGCTTGGGGTGGTCGGCGATGAGTCTTGTAAGACGCCACAGGTGTTTTGGATTTGTGCCCGGCTGCTGGGTGCCGTGTGGCATTTTGGGCCTAATAAACAAGTTGAACGAAGGAAAGCTGGTGCTGGGGGGGTGCGTCTTTGGCTCGAGTGTCAGCGGAGCAACTTGTGAGAGCCCCTGGGAGGGAGGGGAGGGTGTGTTTTGGTTTGTTGATTTTTTTTTTTTTTCGATTTTTGATTTTTTAATTCCCATTGATGATGATGCTGTATCCGACTTGATAGAAGAATCAACTTGGTACTATTGATTCCCACCTGAATGCAATAACAAGATGATGCGAATAGGCGAAGTGATAGATGACATGTTCGTTATGCCGCAACGGAATAGCTTCTCCTTGGCCTCCCCACGTTTTTTTGCTTGCGTCTGGCCTGTCAGCGTCGTGCTGATACGCGTATCCACTTTTGATACGTGCCGGATAACCCAGGCCAGGTACTGAATGTACTCTGTCGCTGTTGGAGGTGTGTGGATGTACATGTAACCGTATGGAATCAGATCATCACGGCATAATTTGGGTGACCCTCTCAGACAGCCATGATCCATGAAGAGCACATGCAATTTACTGTCCTCTAGATGTATCCATGGCGTGTCTCTCTTCTTTGGCAGCAACTCATTTTAACCTGAATTACCATCCATGGATGACAGTATCATATCATTCCTTCAGCTACGCGGAGTTAACGATCCCTCCCCCAGCACTTGACTTCAACACAGCTCCAAAACTCCGCTGAGTCAAAGACGCAATCCACGTGCCAACCATGGCCGAAAAGCAGGGGTCCCGTCCAGTAAGCTTCGAAAGCTTATGGAATCTCCAAGCCGTAAGGGAGGGCAAATGGATTTTTAATCGCCGACTCAGACGCCACGAGGAAAAGCCCATT